AAATTACATGGGTGAAAGTGTGCTTGCATTTGATAGAAGATTGTATTATATTGTTGTGGGTCTAAAGAGGGGAAAAAAGAGAAAGAAGAACAAAGTGAAATAGGAATAAAAATGAAAAGTTCTTCACAATGATTAGCAAGTACGGTCTAAACCAACCCCTGTCACCTTCACTTTACACCTCTGGTCATGAAACCTTTTTCTTTTTGCTCTCTTCCTTTTCCCCATAAACATCTTCAGTTCTTTTTTTCTTTGTTGTTATCCATGGAGGTACATATATTTTACTTATTAAATGACTAACACACACTTTTCATAACACAACTCTTATTAAAAACATATGAAAATCACAATTCAACTCAACCAAAACTATTTATAAAATAAGGGATATACTAATCATACAATTAAAGACTTATGGTATGGAACTGTGAAATTCATAACAATGATTTCCTTGCACATACAAACATATTATTGAAGAGCTTTTGAAACAGTCTGTTAACAGAGACTTCAATTCAAAATGTCATTACAAGTTTTGCACCAGTAGGTTGTGACAGATACCATAAAGCATTGTGTAGGCGTCTATTTACAATCTTTCTTTCTCAATTCCATAATTGATGCGCACAAACAAATTAAACAGTGATACCTCAAGATTTCAACATCTCAAGACACAAAAAAATATTAATAGTAATAGTAATAATAAATAACTAGAAAAGTATTATTGTCTTGAACTGGTTGACGTCCGGCGTTCACTTCTGGTTCCAGTCTGTCTGTGCTTAGAATTCTCTCTCTGCAGTTCCGGTGAATCTTCCCTGGCTATGTTTCCTAGATCCTGCAGAGGCAAAGCCTGTTCCCATTGCCTGGTTGGACTTGCAAAGCTTCCAATAGGTGCTATCTTAGCACTAGACAGTATGTGTTCTCTAAGACTTTTTAATGATTTGTATCTCTTAATCTCGTCCCCGTAGTCCTTATTTTGACTTTCTGAAATGAGGTCGGGTGATTTTTCTGCATCAGAAATATCTGAATCTTCCTGAGTCTTGGATCCGAGGAAGCAGTCCATACGATTTGAACTTCCTCTGTCGAAGCAGATGCTTCCCCATTGAATCTTGTCTGAGAAAGATCTCCTCTCTTTGGTTTCACTAGCAACAGAAAGCTTCTTTGAATCAACTTGATTTTCATCTTTACAAGCATAGCTCCACTTGTAGCTTCTGCTGTTATTGTCCATGTTTAGCTCAATGGAGTGAAGATCACTGTCCGCTGAGTCATCTCCGTCGCCATCTTCTACGTTTGCTACTTCCCCTTTGTCCTGGTCTTTTTCTGGAGCTGGACACAGTCCAAAATTTGCACTTTTCAAATAAGCCTGAAGCTCTTTAATTCTTTCAAGACTTCGAGACTCATCATTATCTTCCTTTACAATTTTACTTCTCAAGCAGCTCTCAAGCTCATTCCTGAGCTTCTCTACAGCTGCATTTTTCTCTTCGAAATGATATTTAGCCTCTGAAAGTTTCATCTGGACTCTCTCCTCACGCAAGACATCTGCGAGTTGAAGCATTTCTCTTTCCTTCTCAACCTCTTCCCTGACCTTTGCTGATTCCTTTTTCAGTTGCTCTGCCTCAGCTCTATCCTCCCCAATCCCTCTGGCTAATTCGTCACAAACTTGCTCCAGTATCTCTTTCGCTCTTTTCTCACCCTCAAGCTCTTTTGTTGCCTTCAACAGAGATGCCTTTGTATCTGCCAATTCTTTGCCGAGTTTCTTGTTCAATCTCTCTGTCTGTCTCCGAAGCTTCTTTTCTACCTCAAGCTCCTCAGCTATGCAGGCAATGGCATCACGAATTCTGTCTCGCTCCCTCCGTTTCCAAGCGGCTTTCTCCTCTGCAAAATACTTCAGAAGACACTCAGTCTCATTCATGTTCGACATTTGCTCGAGGATCAATTGATCTGCCAGTAAACGGGCACGATCAACCTCAACACGCAAGGCTGAGACCAGGGGTATGCTTGAAGAACGCTGTTCTTCAAGACCCCAAACACGGCTCAGAACTTTCAGCAGCTCTTTGGATGTTGTTAGGCCATTGCTTAACTCCTTCAAACAGTTATTGGTTCTGATTTCACCCTTGCTTTGAATTCTTCTTTTGGACTGTGTCTCAACCTGAAATTCATGTTATTCCGAGATCACATTCAAGTTTCTTCTATTTCCATAATCGAATGATTACTAAACCAAACTATCAACAGCAAGAACAAGAAGAAAATAAACAACAAGCAATATAGACAAGGTTCCCTCATCTTAGATTTAAGTAAATCTGGATTTTGCAGGGCGAAGGAATTTGTTTCAGGAGATTATTACCACGGTAAAAATAGAAAAGAAGAGGAAAAAGAGAGAGAACAAAAAAAGAGAGAGGAAATGTTGAAGATAAGAATGGAGAATCACAAGATGATTTCCTTGATGTGAAAGCTATTTTCCTTTCTAGGAAAAAAAGTTGAAAAAACATCCATTGCCCACATGTTTTGGTGTGTTACCCTAACCATTTATCTCCATGTTTTATATTTTTGGAACATGAAAAACACTTCATGAAAACGACCAGAAGAGAAAAAGAAAAAAAGGAAAGTACAGGTTTCTCTACCTCCATAACAGTGCCATTGCTCATGGAATCCAAGCCCCCCAACTTACAGTCACTTACTTGAAGCTTTCTAGAAACGACAGATGTCCTCCTGTAACGGCTATGACCTCTAGATCGATCCATCCTCTGAATATAATCAACAACGAAGAAAAAGAAGAAGGGATTAAGGCGAAACCAAAATGAGAAAAATCTGAAAAAAAATTATGAAAGTAAAGAAAACCCACCTCGTGAATGGGAGAGGAGGATGGATCTGAGAGATTTGGTGGCAAAATTGGGGAAATCTTAGCAAGTTTTTTGGCTCTGGTTTTGGTCTCTGGTTTTGGTATTGGTGAAGGGATTTGGTTGATCTCCCACAAAGTTGCAGCGAGCTTTCTTGCAGATACAGAGACTTCCTTGGACTCTGAAGTGTTAGTAATGTGAGGAGGAGTAGGTGAAGGGTTTAAAAGTTCAGGTCTTGACAAGGCTAAAGCATTAGATTTGGCGGCTGTTTTCCATGTGGGTACTGGTGTGGTTGACCCAGCTTTCTTCCCGACCAGAATAGCACGTTTAACTCTGTACTTTTGAACCAATGAGGAAGACGAAGACGACGAGCAACCTCTCTTCCTGATCTTGCAACCTCCTCTGCTACTTTTCGCTTCCATGTTCTGGTTTCGCCATGACATTTTTATCTATCTACTCAACGACTTGGAATAGTTTCGGCGGAAGCTTCGAAATCCATGAATCGTGGAGATTAACAGAGATCTCGCTGAGAGAATCATGAAGATGACAATCAAGAATGGGAAAGCGGGTGATACTGATATATGAAAATGATCATCTTTTAACGCAGAAAAAAAAAAAAGACTTTGAGTCAAGTAAATATATTTTGAGTGGTGACCCAGTTTCTGGATTTTGAAGATTTGTAAGTTTGAATGGAAGAAGAAGAAAGGATATTAAGTTGGCAGAGAGAGAGCGAGAGAGAGAGAGAGATCATGATACAGTCATGAAGAAAAAAGGAAGAAGAAAAGATAAAGAAAGAGAAAATTTGATGATTAGATTTCTCTTTTTGGTAAGTTACTGCCTTGAATTCCTCAAAGAAAAGTTGGGAAATCAAAGATTCTTCTTGTGGATTCAGAAGCATAAGTAGTCTAAAGATGAAGAAAGAAAAGCTTGGAAAGTAGAGAAGCTGTCAAAGAAACTATGGAATGTTGAAGATTTGAGAGAGAGAAAAGAAGTTAATTCTGAAATGGTTAAGAGGGAATTTAGGAGAGAAAGCAGAGGTGAGAATGAATAGAAATAATCCACACACCAGTATATACATACAACTCACACATATATACATTCTAAAAACCACCAGTATATAATATCCCATTACTTCAAAAAACCTTCGTGTCTTCTTCAAATTTTAATTAAAAAAAAAAAACACTGTATGAAGAGGGAATTTGAAAGAAAATCCCAAGAAACTTGGCTTTTTATATTATTATTATATATATATATATATATGTAATGCATTCAGAAAACAGAGGGAAGGTGGGTGGGTAATGGCGGAGGTTAATTAAAAGACAAGACAGATGACGTGGCGGCCACGTAAGCGAATTTCAATCAATCAGCGACGTGCATGTGTCGAGGAACGGCTACAATCTTGACTACCTTCTCTGTACTTATTCGCCACGACCTGGACGTGGGTTGTTCATCTTTTCTCTTTTTCTATTTCGACCCCACATCTTTTATTATTTTCCCTAAAACCCCACTTTCCAAATTTTGTTTTGAAAATGTTTTTTTAAGAAGGGGGGGTTAAAAATGTATTAGGAAAGAATACGAGGGTTCGTTTACAAATACGTGAAAGTTGAGAAAGTATACAGAATAATTATTGTGGACTCTCATCACTCAATCATTCATCAACATCAAGAAGTGGGCCCCCCCCGCTAACGGCTCTCGATGGCGGTGATTGGGTGGTAGCGTCGTTTGTTTGAACTCAAAAACTCCGTATACGTCTGGGCCCCACCATCATCTCTATAATCAACATACGAAATCAGATGCTGCTCCCGTGGACCACCACGCTGTTCCTCATCGCCAATCACACATTTTATATATATATATATATATATTACGTAATTATTTGAATGTATTAATTTTTATTTAAAATTAGTTTGGTTACAACTCTGCATGGTTAATATATATATATATATATATATAAATTATTGAGGTATGATCACAGTATGTATTTGTTTATAGAACTTTATTATATATCTACTGCTCTATGATTAACCTGTGGATGCATGTGTATGTACGTAAGAGTTTTATAATTAAGTACCATTTTATGATATAATGCATGTTAGTCATACACACGTGTAAGTCATTATTGAAAATATTTTACTAACAATTTCCTAGAAATAATTTGCAAATGTTCCAACTAAAATAAGCAAAAAACTATTTTCCGAAACAAATTCAGCCACCCCAAAAAAAATTCGGAATGGATTTGATATGAACAAGTTTTGATTATGTTATTATGTATTTTTTTTTAAACTGATGTATAGTATACGTACAAGATTCGGAATACAGGTTACGTGTGAATTAACAAGACCATCGTTTAATTTCATTAGTCTTCGCAGTCTTGTAATTATATCTCTTGGATGGACTATTATACGATCATCATCATCCTTTCAGGAAAGTAATGAGAGTGTTTTATCGATACCAAAATCAGTAGAGATTTGAAATATAAATTTTATTCTTGAACTTTTCAAACAGACGACTGAAAAAAAAATTGACAAATTTGAAAAAAAAATTACTTATATCTCTTGCATGAAGTATTATATGATCATCGTCACCCTTCCATGCAAGTAACGAGAGTGTTTTACCGATACTAAAACTAGTAGAGACTTGAAATGTAGATTTTACTCTTGAATTTTTCAAATAGAAAACTTAAAAAAGATTGACAAATTTGAAAAAAATAAACTTATATCTCTTACATGGATTACTATACGATCATCGTCACCCTTCTATACAAGTAATGAGAGTGTTTTATCGACACCGAAACTAGTAAAAACTATAAATATAGATTTTACTCTTGAATTTTTTTTTTAAAAAGATTGGTAAATTTAAAGAAAATACACTTATATCTCTTGCATAAACTACTATATGTTCATCGTCATCCTTCCATGAAAGTAATGAGAGTGTTTTATCGACACCGAAACTAGTAGAGATTAGAAGTATAAATTTTTCTCTTGAATTTTTCAAAAAACAAAGATTGGCCAATTTGAAAAAAATACACTTTTATCTCTTGTACATACTACAGACTACTATACGACCATCGTCACCCTTCCAGAGAAGTAACGAGAGTGTTTTGTCGACACTGAAATTAATAGATACTAAAAATATAGATTTTACTCTTGAATTTTTCAAACAAAAGACTGAAAAAAGATTGACAAATTTGAAGAAAATACATTACGAAAACTGAAAAATGAGTTTCGGCGTCTAGAGACAATGACCCTTTTCTACATGTCTGATTCATATTATCTCTTATCTGCTTCTTCTTCAACAGCTTTTGCTTCGGTTTTTGTTGTTTTTTCTAAAACGAAAGATGCATGGTAACTTCTAAGTTAGATACCACAGGTTCTAAATGATTAATTCAGGAGATCATAAGCATTTGATATATAAAGCGAGTAGTAGACAATTATATTATTTTTCGAGGAAAGTTACGCGACATATGTACTTCAAAAGTTTAACCGGTCGAATCGCAACCCATTGAAACCTCAGTTGAATGCAGAGAGAAGCTATGAAGGGATAGAGAAGAAGATTGATCCAAACTTTGGTCATGAGTCTTCCGGCAAGTTTGAGATATTTGACTTTACACACAAGATTTGATATTTTGTTTGTCGTTAGACTTGTGAACTGCTATACGGAATGTCCCATGAATTCCCATATGAAAACAGCAAAAAGAATATAGTAAAAGCAGTCTTTGCCATGGAACGTCGTATGTATTTTCAAATGAATGTAAGTATGTGTTGTATCACCCACCAAACTTTCAACAGGAGTAAGAAAGAGTTCTTAAAGGTTAGGAAGGATAGTTCCTATCATATATAGTGTAAACATGAACATCCATTGTACAGAGAGAATAATGACAACGATATAAGAAAGTGAGATTACACAGAAATAACACAAGAAAAACCAGAGGATTGGATTCAGAAGTAGTCCTCGGTCCTCCCTTTGAAACCAATTTGACCGAAAGTCAAGCAGAGAAACAGCCCTAAGTGCCACAACACCAACCACAACCTGTATCGGTAAATATAAAATATATCATACAATAATCAACGAGTGGTCCCATGGTCTAGTGGTTAGGACATTGGACTCTGAATCCAGTAACCCGAGTTCAAATCTCGGTGGGACCTTTTCTTCTCCTTTTTTGCATTTTTTCTGTCAACTTGGAATCTTTGGTTACTAACCAAATTGAAATAAAATTAGTTGATGAGAAATGAGAGGTTACCAGAACTGAGAAGTGAGAGCGGGGGGGGTGGGGAAGTGAGCGAGCTCGGTGCCGATGCTGTCGAAGAAAAGACCGGTGAGGCTCTTGCCGTTAATGGCGGGGATGCTCGACGGTGCAATCCACCCGATTAGACCAAATCCTATCACGTTAAAGTCCCTCCGCAGCCAGTTTCTCTCAAAGCTTTTCAAGTTAAACACACACACACACACACACAAAAGTCGGTCGACCATAAAACCAGAAAACAAAATCAACCCATAAAAAAACTCAAATTAACCTCACCAGCTGAATCTTCCTCCTTCACCACCCGCAACCCTCAGTGGGTTTCTAGCCGTCACTCCAGATTTTAAAAACCCTGATCAGTATAAAAAAGAATTAAACCCGTCAGAAGAAAACAAAGGGGATGAGCTCCAAAAGAGGAAGAGGGGGAGTTATTGTGACCTGAAGTGAGGGAAAGTGTGTTGGTCGAGGAGATCCTTGAAGGGGAAGAGAGGGAGGATGCGCCGAGGCCTACGACGGTTGATGAGGTCGCGAAGCTGGCCGCCATCGTTGCGATTTTTTGGTTTTGTTTTGATCTGGTTGATTGATCGTTATAAAAGTTTTTGCAGAGGAGGAGGAGGATGCGGAGGGAGATTTTGAGGAAGACGAAGATTACATGGATGTGGCTCTTGACCAATCATATTATGCCACGTGAGATTTCTGCGGATAGACTAATATACTGAGTGGACTGCGTTTCGTTATCCCTTTTAAATCACACTATCCATCACGCGCTAGCCTAGCGCGTCGTTACAAATTCAAACCACGGCCTGGCCTTCTTCTTCTTCTTCGCTGGGCCGGGCCTATTAAACCTAGACCATAAGGAATTTATTTTTTAAAGGTTATATTCCGTACAAATTTTAATTTTTATTTAATATTTGAATATATTAAATATTATTTTTCCAATTTAAATTAAATATTTTTTAATATCTTTTTAAAAATTTACATAAATTAATAATTCTGATATTGAATAACACGAGTTGAATTGATAACTAAATTTTATCCGTAAAAAAATAATTAACACTTTTGTTTTTTTTTATTTAAAAAAACGAGTTTAAATTTTATTAAAAATATAAAATTTGTTATTTTATGATCGTATTATATATCAGTAAATGATTGACTTATAATATTTAATTCAGTACGATTAAAAATTTTTAATTTATTAATACGTGAGGTTAAATATTTTATTTAATTTTTTTTATTTCTAAATATATATATATATAATAATTTAAAATTAAGAGTCCAGTCACCTAATCACTTAACTTTTCGTAAAACAAGTTAAGTAAAGGTGTGATATCGCATTAGATTTGTGTATAAAAAGTCGAACAAATGAATATTTTTGTACTAAGGAACTTTATAACAATACTTTCAAAGCTCGTATTAAAATATATCTTCAATTTTCTTTCGGTTTTTAAACTTTCTCTGATATCATTGCGTAACAAATATAAGTAATCGAGAGAGGATATCAACTTATATATGAATTACGAAGCATTAATTTACGTACGTAACCTATATATACAACACTACTTTAAAATTTTTTAAAAGAATGAATTAAGTAGAATTTCAAGAAATTAATTAACATTGGTATGTATAATTAGTTAGTTATTGCAATCTAATTAACACTTTAATTAATTAAGTTTTAATATCATTAAATTAAATATTATAATCAATCACTGTTAATACATAATACTGACAAAATCTATATATATATATATATATATATTTATAAGAGTTTGAGTTTATAATTTTAATATAAATTATTAAATTTTGAATCGTTAGAAGATCATATTATGTTTGATAGTTAAGAGTTGAAGATTATTAACTCTTAGACAACTGAGTATCAACTCTTATGGAATTGAATTTTCATGAATGAGATGAAGCGATCCCCATTGATGATAATTAGTGTTTCAACTCTTCTTCTTCTTCTCCTTTTTCTGTATGTTACCAGAAAGAAGCCGAGTTCCAAAATGCGGCGAATGCAGCAGCTCCAATAACGACACACGCCATGTCCAAAATTCTGCAAGCCGTGTCCAAAGCTCCTTCTTTTCTCCGCATCAACTCCTTCTTCTCCCTCTTCCTCTCCAGGAATTCTCGATACCTCACTTTCCCTTCTTTCTTTTTTCCTTCCTTCTTCCTGCCTCCTTCCATGGCCGCTTCCAAAATCTCCAGACTCTCCCTCCCGTTCAAACTCCTTCCCTCCATATCCTCCGCCTGCATGCTCACCTCCCGCACCTGCACCTCACCTCCCTCCTTCCACCCACACGTCACCACCACCCCCAACTCCACCAACTCCTCCGACCCGCAACTTTTCTGGCGCCGTTTAATCGTCGAGTACCGCAACTGCACCTCCCCGTCGACCAGTTCTTCTCCACCCTCACCGGCGACGGCTAGATAAGCTCACCGCGCGTTTCCTCATCGGTCTATCGCTATCCAACTCATCGTCAAGTTATCCTCCCAGTTCTATCGTCCACTCGTCATTTAGGATTCTCGTCGGAGCGGATTCTTTCATGTCGACGAGGGCCACCCGGAAAACCGACCCGAGGAAGGAACTCGTTCCGGTCCGGGTTTCTCCCACCGTTGAGTATATAACATTGTCTCCGTAGTAAATATCGACGGCTGAGATTAGCTCCGTCGTGATCGTCTCCGGCCGGAGCTTCTGTTTCTGTGGTAATTGGTGATCGGAGACCGGAAAGGAATCGGAGAAGAAGGAGCGGTAACCGGAGGGGAACGTGGAGATGACGTGGCGAACACGTGGATGGCGGAGGGAAGGCCACGTGGAGGTGCAGATGTCCCGCCAGAGGCGTTCTTGGGCGGATAGCGCGTGGAGTTGGGAGGATGTGGAGGCAATGGAAGCGAGGTTGAGACCGTCAAGTCGGGTCAGGATATGGGTCTGGATTATATCCGGATGGAGGTCGGAAATGGAGCTGCCGACGGCTGGACCGCCGGTCGCCGTCGCAATTCCAGAAGCCATGTTGTTGTTCTGCGCGTGAGCTGGAAGTGGTTGGCCTTTCGTTGTACGAGTCTGAGGTTTATAAAGAAGATAAGAGACGTGAGTTTTTCATCACGTTGTTTTTTAATTGCATAAATATTATTTTTAAAAGTTAAAATTAAGTAAATATGATATTTCCACTCCCAAATTGATATCAGCACTCCAGTCAATGTAGAAAAAAAGGAGTGCGCAGAATGAAATTCGAGTGGAAATAGCAAATTCCGGATGGAATGGTCTACCCGCGTTATCCACCGAGAAGTCATTTTTTTAATATTAAATAATTTTTTTTTATTTAATATTAAATACTTTGTCCGCAAATGCAAATCGTGTGTTGACCTTTGACTTTTTAATTAAGTTACAATTTGTGGATTTAAATATACTCAATTATATTATATCATATTATATATATATATTGTACCCGTAAATAAGTTATAG